AATGCATCCTAGTTCCCTAGCAAAGGAGGATTTTTTTGTTCAGATGGGTTTGTTTTCTTTATGTTTTGCTTACATGCTTGCTAGCATTTAAAATTATTACCATTTAACCTTAAGACATTTGGAAATCTACCTTATTTGGAAAGAAGTCAGATAAAATTAGTTCACTATCTGAATTGTGACGTATTTCTTTTTTTTTTTTTAAAGATTTTATTTATTTATTTGAGAGAGAGAATGAGAGACAGAGAGCATGAGAGGGAGGAGGGTGAGAAGGAGAAGCAGACCCTCTGCTGAGCAGGGAGCCCGATGTGGGACTCGATCCCGGGACTCCAGGATCATGACCTGAGCCAAAGGCAGTCGCTTAACCAACTGAGCCACCCAGGCGCCCAGAATTGTGACGTATTTCAAAGAAATGCAGTTTTAATGTTTTCAGGTTGATACAGAAATACCAAATGAAAAATATAAAGTATAGGTTATAGAATTTTATTAATAGATGAAGATAATTTACAATTAGTAGGATTCATTTTATTTTTGCTTATACTTTTAAACGTTTTACACTCATTTTATTGAGTAAATATTAAATATCTGCTGTGTGGCCAATTGATTATCTTGCTTACAGTGTGGAGAATAGATTAAATGTGGACAAACTGGAGGCTCAGAGGAAGCTGAAGAGTTTGTTGTTTTAATGTAGGTGAGAGATTGTTATGGCCTGAACTAATGTGTTGGGATTTTGTCCTGGATTAGTGTGTTCTGGATTTGACTCTCTTCCTTAATGAAGTGTTTTGCCTTGTGAAAATTAATTTAATTGTGGATTAACTTGATCTTTAGAAGACTTGCTTTTAAACGCTGTTAGGGTTGACAAAGATAGCCTTTCCCCTTTCAGGGCTAAATTAACTTTACTTTTAAGACTTGGCTTTTCTGGTGTCTCTACTAAATGCCTCTGATGTTCTCCTTGCTTTGGCTATTTGGAACTAGGATTTTTCCCAGCCCCATGTGAGTTCAGGTAGTTGCTCAACTCATAGCTCTCTGATACTTGTTCTGTCGCTAGTAATTGTTTCATGTGGAGTCTTGCCCAGTGCATGCACACTTAGGGTTTGGCCAAAGACTCAAAGGGACCTGTGTCAGATTAGGCACTGCTGCTTTTATGGATAACGTTCCTTCTCTGTGATATTCTGCTCTGCACATTTCTGCTGTCTTAGGAATCTTACCCATTGATCCTTCTTCTGAGTTCTGCATGACGGCTATCTTCTGTTTGGGCTTCCTCTCCTTGCTTCACATACAGAATAGCAAGTCTGGGCCATCAGTGTTTGTTTCTCTTCTTTCAAAGGATCACAGACCTATGCCCTTGTTTTCCAGTGTATGAAAACAGTTACTTCGTGCATTTTATCTAATTTTAAAATAGTTTACAACAGGAGGGCCAGTCTTCTATCCATTATGGTCAGATCATGTTGATTTTGTAGAGAGTGAGAAGTAAATGGGAAACTCACTGAAGGATTCAAAGCAGACTAAACTGTCATAATTTGTTGATCCTCTGTGAAGATTACCCTGGTGCTCTCTTGAGAATGGACAGAGGAAGTGGAAGGAAACTAACAGCTGTCATAGTAATCTAGGGTTCAGCTGAACTGGAAATGGAGTGAAGTGGAATAATTCAAGACATACTTTGAAGATGGAGCAATCCCTGCCTCCTGTTTGAATTGGTTGTGGGAAATGAAAATCTGGGAAGAATGAGACACTGGTGTTTGGCTGAACCACTGGGAGGGTGATGCCATTTAATGAGATGGAGAAGACTCATCTCTCATCACACTCATCAGATGAGGGGCTAGATTAAGGAAGAGAAAAATCAAGAGTTTTGTTATGGACAATATAAATTACCTATTAGACATCTAAATAGAGATATCAAATGGGCAGTTGGATAAATGAGTCTGAAATCAGAGCAGAGGGCCTAGGAGTTCACTTGTGTTTCAGATGAAGTTTAAGCAATGTTATGGATTAGAGAGTTTAGATGGCAAAGAGAAGAGGGTTTAGGACTTGTCACCTGGTCACTGTAGTATTTAGGGGTCTAATTCAGAAGGAAGAACCTGCAAAAGAAAGAGAAGAAGCACTTGGAGAGAAAGAAGAATAGGAGAGTGTGGTGTTTGTAATAGTCAAGAGAAAATGTGTGTATAGGAGGGAGTGGCCCACTGCTTTGAATGCCTCTGAGAGTTCTAGGAAGATGACGACAGAAAGGTGTCCACTAGATTTGGCACCCTGGCATTCATTGGTGTTGTGGATGAATTGTTTGAATGGAGAGGTAGAGAAAGAAATAACTTAAAATAATTAAATTAAAGCAACAGTCTTCCATTGTGTTACTGGGGAGATCAACTTTGGGAGACTGTTGCTATAATCCGGGCAGAATCTCTAGGAGGGCTGGAGAGACTGGGTACAGAAGTTATACGGCCAAAACCAGTCTCTAGTCCATCATGCTCCTTTATCGGTTTGGGGAAGACAGTGCTGCTCTTGGTGCAGGGCACAGACACAGCAGCTTGTTTGGCTGACACTACTGACACTGCTCACTACCTTTGGAACCTCTGCCATTCCTGAGACTGGGAGCTTGAGGTAGCTGCTGCCTCTGCCACTCATTGCCAGAATTGTCACTATTCACGTCCCCAAGTCTTCTGTTAAAAGATTCTGGTGGAGATGAGGTCTTGTGTCTGGACTTTAACTGCAAGAAAGGCTGGGGAAAAAATATGTGGCATTTTTAGCTTTTCTTGTGGAAGGAAGACTGTCTTAAAATGTGGAATCCCCAAACATAAAAGGGAGATTAGATATCATGGCAAGAAAGAGTGATAGATGTCCACTACAAGGTTAGATAAATAGATTTTGCAGGTTATCCATGGAAAGGTAAGACAGTTGACTTTTGAACAATGAGGGGGTTGGGAGCTGACCCCTCTATAGTCGAAAATCTGCATAGAATGTCTGACTCTCCCAAAACTTAACTACTAATAACCTACTATTGACTGCAAGCCTTCCTGATAACATAAATGGTTGATTTACACATAATTTGTATATTATATATATTATTTACTGTATTCTCTAGGTGAGCTAGAGAAAAGAAAAAGGTATTAAAAATCATAAGAGAAAACACATTTACAGTACTGTACTATATTTATTTAAAAAAATAATATATATAAGGGCGCCTAGGTGGCTCAGTCAGTTAAGCATCTGCCTTTGGCTCAGGTCATGGTCCTGGGGTCCTGGGATGGAGGCCCGCGTTGGGCTCCCTGCTCAGCGGGGAGTCTGCTTCTCTCTCTCTCTCTGCCCCTCCCCCCGCTTGTGCTCTCTCTCTCTCTCTCTCTCTAATAAATATAAATAATAAAATCTTTAAAAAAAAGAAAAAATAATACACGTATAAGTGGACCAGTACAGTTCAAACCCATGTTGTTTAAGAGTCAACTGTAGTTGAATCTGTGGGATTGGGGAAGGGCTACCTTGTATGGTTGGTGTGCACATTATTCAACCAAACAAGAGCTGAGATCACGACCTGAGCCAAAACCAGGAGTCGGATGCTTAACCAGCTGTACCACCCAGGCACCCTTAAAAGATATATTTTTGTTTGTAGCTTACTCCAAGTGGTAACAGTGGAGATGGCAAGGAGTGCTTACATTTTGGATATATTTTGAAGGTAGAGTTAACTGGATTTCCTGATTGACTGTGGCTTGAAAGCAAAAGGAAGGCATTAAGACTCAGATGTTTCACCTGAGTGACTGGAAGGATGGAGCAGGCTTTAGAGCACCACCAAGAGTTTACTCTTGGGCTTGAAGAGTTTGAGGTATTTGTTAAACGTACAGATGGGATAACTTGTTGAATATTTAAGGCTGGAGTTAGGGAGAAAAGTAGCAGAAAAGGTGGTATATATTAATAGTGGTTTGCACTGTAGTTTCAGCAGCCAACTGGTAAATGTGGATGTTCAAAAGTTACTGGTTTTTAAACCGTTGACTTTATAATTTAGAACTTTTGTCAGTTATTGCCACTACTCTTTGAGGAAGAGGTAACTCAGTGAAGTGTGCAATTCTGTTTTCTGTTTTCTCTCAAACCATTCTTCCTGGCCAGGCAAGAATGAATAATTTAAGTGAAAGGTATAATTAAAGTATTACACATTCCTTTTATTATGGTTAAGTATAGTTCAGATGGAAAGTATTCATCTGTGTATTCTCCGGGATCACTAGAAGCTATGCCAGGGTACTTTGGAAATGTTGACTGATTAAGTCAGAGACATTCACACAATCTGACAGGAAATAGCCTGACGTGGTCTGATACCTTTACTGTGACCCTTGAAGACCCTAATTGTGATATTACTACCATAGCTTCCTTTCTTCCTGATTCTGAACTCACTAAAATTTAGATAAAAAAGAATAGTTATGTTTTTATGACATTTTGTAGACGTGAACAACCTTATCTTCTTTTTTCTTTCTACTTGTCACCCCACTAGAGAGAGATTTTCATCACAGGTAGCGAGGTTGTTACTCTGGGGTAGATGCTATAGAAAGGATGTGGTTAACACAAATGCTTTCAGTAGCTCTGTGCAGTGCAGACTGATTGTGACTGCTTTTATTTCTCCTTTTAAAAAGGGAGTATTTCTGATCTCCCTTTTGGACTGTTTGGAGTTCTGATTTATATGTCTTAGAGTTATGTGGAAAATTGACACACCAGTCTGGGGTTGCGTTGTAGTTTCCATCTGTTGTACTGATTTCATCTGTGTGACTAATTTTAAATAGGTGTTCACTGACAGGGACTCTTTATGCCTGTATGTTTGACTCTTATACTTCCTTAGCCTGAATGCAGCCTGTGGGTTTTCTGACCCACTGGGGAAGGTCTGGTGGACAGGGATCAGAGTGTCTTGTAAGGCTGGGGTAATCATCTTTTTTACACAATTACTCCCTCTCCCCGTCCTTCTCTACCCTCCCTTTAAGAAAAAACGAGTGAAAAGGAGGACACTTACTCTCTTTTTTGCTTCTCTTGTATAGGAGATGCATCGGAGATTTGAGAATGCTCCTGATTCTGCCAAAACAAAAGCTCTGCAAACTGTTATTGAAATGAAGGTAAGTAAGAATCTACAAGAATCTTGTGAGTCACTTTATACTTTGAAGTGATTACAGACTTTCCTGTGTGAGTTTTAGAAAGTGATGTGTAATAATATTTCACTTATTTTATAGATTGAGAAGACATAGTAAGATGATTAAAAGGACACTTTAAAAGAACTTCAGTTTTATTCCCTTTTAGTTATAGATCATAACTCAAATGGGACCAAAAAGGCTTGTCCAGAATTTCTTTAAATGAGCTATGCTTAAACCTTTTGATCTCAGGACCCCTGTATTCTCTTAAAATGACAGGCTCATTCATTCATTTTTAGAAAATGCCTGCCTAATACTAAGTTTAGTAGCCATAGTTTGTCAGTTGTTCTTCCAAGTAAAAATGATGTTCCATGAAAAAACTACCTAATGCAGCTTGCAACTCAAAGAGGCACACAAGTGCTATTCCGAAGGAACAACTGTCGTACTTCAGTGGGCGGATATGCCTAGCTCCTTCCCATTTCATCACACAGAATATTAAAAAGATATGTTCCTAAGGGTTGTGACTAATTAAAAGTAATAAATTTTACTGCCTCGTTAGGGGCATTCTCCAGGGAAGCAGTCTTCCAAAAATTTTATTTCTAGGGGTGCCTGGCTAGCTCAATTGGCAGAGCATGTGACTCTTGACTTCGGGGTCATGAGTTCAAGACCCACATTGGGCCGAGAAAGCTCTCTTAATTTTTTTTTTTTAATTTCTGATATTTCTTTCTTTTTTTCTGTGAGTGCCTGACACTGAAGAGTACAGTGACTGCTGGTATGGTTTGGTGCCACTGCCTGTTGTCCTAAGACACTAGCAGTTTTTCCCCACTATTGCTTATATACCTTTAGTGCAAATGTTAACACAGTGGACAAGGCAAATAAAGTCATAGTATTATTACGAAAATAGTTTTGACTATGCAGACTTCTTGAAAAGATCTGGGGGGATCCAGGACATAGAACATGGACCATACTTTTGAAAAACGCTGCCTTAAGTTAATGAATAGTTAGAAATCTTTGGGCGCCATGTTATGTTAAGAGCTTGCCTTCTAAATTCCTTGGGTCCAAAATTTGGCTTTACTTGAATCAGTTATATGACACAGAGTAAGTTACTTAACCTCCCTATACCTCAATTTCTTTATCGATAGGAGGCGGTAATAATATTGCTATCCTGTAGGTTGTTTTGAGGTTTAAATTAGTTTCTTCCTCCTCTTTCTCCCTTCTCTTGCCTTCTTCCCCCTCCCAACTTTGAATAGTATCTGGCATATTGTAAACTGTTAGCTGCTACTGCTATTATTATTTTGATGAACATCATAGTCTTTCTTACAAAAGCTGAAAGACTCTTACAGATAAGGACCTCTCTCTCTTTCTTTCTGTTTTTTAGCTTCTTCATATTCCCTAAAAAGTTTGACATTTTCTGCTTTTGGGTCTTTATTTAATATTTGGTTATACAACAAGAATATTGAGTTATTGGTATATAGTTTTATCTAAATAGAGGCTTCTCAAGTACAGTTTTAAGAACTTTTCTCTGAATTTAAATGATTTCCTCTTAAAATTTTGTGTATATCTTTATTTCCAATGGGGAAAGGATTTACCAAACAAATTCTAAATTAGAAGAATTCTGGGTTCTTTGTAGTTAGACAGTTAGCAATCTTGTACATAATTCTGTAAAGAGCCTTAAAAAGGTTCCATTGTGTTCCCATTTCCCACAAATCTATTTGTACATTTTATTTCCTGAGCCCTGTTTAAACCTAAGAATAAAACACATGAATGTACCTGTGTTTCCAAAATCATGTTACTCGCCTTTGGATAGAGTAGGGAAGTATAATAGTATTAATTGGTAGTGGATCTGTGTTAAGTTGTGTTAACCTTCAGCCATTTGGTTAAGAAGCAAGAGATTCTGAGATTCTGGTGGCCCAGTTGGGTCCGGTGGATGCTTTGCTGAAATCACAGCTGAAATAGTTGAGTTGCTGAGAATGTGGCGTGAGCTTGAGAGAATTTTGAAGGTCTAGAGTAGTCTTGGGAGGAAGAGGAAAGGAAGATGATTGATAGACCATTAAAGAGCCTACCTGTCTTCAAGGTGATGTAATTTTCTTTTCTCTTCCCTCTGCCTTTTCTTCCTCCTCTTCCTCCCTTCTTTTGCCTTCTTCCCCCTCCCATCTTCTCCCTCTCCACTCCACTTCCCCTTCCTTCTTCTCTAATTTTTTTCCTTTTTTCTTTAGTAGTGGAGGAACAGGGAAGAATTAACTGTACTGCTCTAGGTGAGAGTTTTGCCTGGTAGATAATGGCAGAACTATTGGGATGCAGATGAATTGAGCATCATGGTGAGAGAGTAGTTTGCATGATCAGTACAAGAATGTAGTGTGGATAGGAAGGAAGAGAATTCAGAGTGGACTGACAGGTTGGGAGAAAATGTGACAGGGAAGTGGAGATCTCTGTGAGGTTTAAGAACAGCAAATAGAAAATGATGGTGCAGCAGGCCTGGGGAGAGAGTCCTGGGTGATTTTAGGATCCAGAGGGTAGTCCTATCAAGTGGATAGCTGAAATGGAGTGGTGGATGAGGTCATTGGAATTTAGGACATTGAAATCCCAGGATGATTGCAGGAGTGGCATTTGAAGGGAAGATTGATTGTGAGCCAGGTGCCAAAGATGTTTTCAAATGGCGGGGAGTGATTGGGAAGTCCCTAGATGGCAGCAGCGAGGAGGGTAAAGTAAAAAGGAGTGTGAGCTGTAAATAAAGGGAGGGAGCACTTTTCCCCTGCTCTTTTCTGGTACTGGGGCATTAGTGACCTTCATTGGAGAGAGTGCAGGGAAAGTCTGTCCTTTGGGGAAGTCAGTTTACCTTGGGATAAGGAGACAATTTGGGGGGAAAAAAGGTGAGGATTTGAGAAATTTAATAAGGAACAGGGGATTCCAGGAGGCTCACTGGAATTGGGTGATTAATGATGGGAAACCCAGGGCTGGGGAAGTACAGAGTAGTAAGATGATAAGGAATTTATTTACTTATTATTATACATTCTAGGAATAACAAACCTTGTTGGAAGGACTATCCTCACTTAAACTCAGTCTGGTTGAGTTGGTGCTAGGACAAGTTGAGCATATCAGACATTGCTTTTCTGGCTTGATTTCAGTGAGTAGCCTGGCAGGTCTCTTATCTGGGCGGTCAGTGGCAGCCTCTTGACTTTCACAGTTATAGTTTGGTCCCTTTTGGGGAGAAGCTTTTATGGGACATGATTTGGTAGTGAGGGTGCTGATTTGGTCAAGAGCTGCCTCTGTATTTGTGTTGGAGTTAGGGGAGAAGATGGATAATGTTTCTTGGGGCATTGTGGGGGCTTTGTACAGTTAGAGGTTGTCTATGTGATGTGTGGAGCTTGAGTTCATAGCTGGAAGCAATTTTGTCTTGTGTGGAGTACCAATGGTACTAGAAATACAGTCCCTTTTTCCATTGGCCCTTTTTCATCACCCCCCCCCCCCCCGCCCCACTAATGTCAGAGGTCAACCACCTTTCATTTGCAGGTTAGTCCCATGCATATGCGTAGTATTTTAGTTATTCTTAAGGGACTACATCCTGATTTTTCCAGGAAAATGTATAGTAATCTTAAAGGTGAATTTTCAGATAGTACAATGAAAATAGTTTACAGGCATACCTTGGTTTATTGTGCCTCACTTTATTGTGTTTTGCAGATACTGTATTTTTTACAAATTGAAGGTTTGTGGCAACCTTGCATCAAGCAGGTCTTTTGGTGCTGTTTTTCCAACAGCATTTGTTCACTTCATGTCTCTCTGTCACATGTTAGAAATTCTCCCAGTATTTCAAACTTTTTCATCATTATTATATTTGTTATGGTGATCTGTGATCAATGATCTTCAATGTTACTCTAGGCCAATTAATAACCCTACAGTGGTCTCTGCATATTTAAGTGAAAAGAGTCACATGTCTCTCACTTTAAATCAAAAGCTAGAAATGATTAAGCTTAGTGAGGAAGACAGGTCCAAAGCTGAGACAGGCTCAAAGCCAGGCCTCTTAGACCAAACAGCTGAATTATAAATGCAAAGGAAGAGTTCTTGAAGGAAATTAAAAGTGGCTACTCTAGTGAACAAATGAATGATAAGACAGTGAAACAGCCTTATTGCTCATATGAAGAAAGTTACAGGGGTCTGGATAGAAGATCAGACTAGCCACAATGTTCCCTTAAGCCAAAGCCTAATCCAGAGGGAGGCTGTAAGTCTCTCAATTCTGTGATGGCTGAAAGAGGCGAGGAAGCTGCAGAAGAAAAGTTTGAAGCCAGCAGAGATTTGTTCATGAGGTTTAAGGAAAGAAGCCATCTCTATGACATAAAAGTGCAAGGTAAAACAGCAGGTATGGAGGGAGAAGCTGCAGCAAGTTACCCAGAAGACCTAGTAAGATCACTGATGAAGCTGGCGCCACTAAAGAACAGATTTTCAATGTAGATGAAACAGTTTTCTGTTGGAAGAAGATGCCATCTAGGACTTTCATAGCTAGAGAAGTCAGTGCCTGGCTTCAGAGCTTCTTGTTAGAGGCTAATGCAGCTAGTGACTTTAAATTGAAGCCAGTGCTCATTTACCATTCCAAAAATCCTGGGGCCTTAAGAATTATGCTGAGTCTGCTCTGCCTGTGCTCTGTAAACAAAGCCTAGATGGCAGCGCATCTGTTCACAACATTACTGAATATTTTAAGCCCACTGTTGGGACCTACTACAGAGAAAAAGAGGTTCTTTTCAAAATATGACTGTTTATTGACAATGCACCTGCTCACTGAAGAGCTCTGATGGAGATGGACAAAGAGATTATTGTTGTTTTCATGCCTACTAACAAAACATTCATTCGGCAACCCATGGATCAGGGAGTCATTTTGATTTCCAGGTATTATTGTTTAAGAAATGCATTCGTAAGGCTATAGCTGCCATAGATAGTGATTCTCCTAAAGGATTTGGACCTTCTGGAAGGGATTCACCATTCCAGATGCCAGTAAGAACATTTGTGATTCATGGGAAGGGGTAAAAATATCAATCTGAATAGGAGTTTGGAAGAAGTTGACTCCAGCCCTCCTGGATGACTTTGAGGGGTTCAGGACTTCAGTAGGGGAAGAGCTGCAGACGTGGCAGAAATAGCAAGAAAACTAGAATTAGAAGTGGAGCCTGAAGGTGTGACTGAATTTCTTGAATCTTATGCTAAAACTTGAACAGATGAGGAGTTTCTTATGGGTGAGCAAAAAAAAGTGTTTTTTTAAGATGGAATCTACTCCTGGTGAAGATGCCATGAAAGTTGTTGCAATGACAACCAAGGATTTAGAGTATTATGTAATCTTAGTTGATAAAGCAGCAGCAGGGTTTGAGAGGATTGATTCTAATTTTGAAAGAAGTTCTGTGGGTAAAATGCTGTCAGACAGTATCACATGCTATAGAGAAATTGTTCATGAAAGGAAAAGTTAATCGATGCAGCAAACCTCTTTGTTGACTTATTTTAAGAAATTGCTACAGTCGGGGTGCCTGGGTGTCTCAGTCGTTAGGCGTCTGCCTTCGGCTCAGGTCGTGGTCCTGGGGACCTGGGATCGAGCCCCGCATTGGGCTCCCTGCTCAGGCGGGGCGCCTGCTTCTCCCTCTCCAACTCCCCCCTGCTGTGTTCCTCTCTCGCTATGTCTCTCTGTCAAGTAAATAAATAAAATCTTAAAAAAAAAAAAGAAAGAAAGAAATTGCCACAGTAACTCTAAATTCAGCAGCCACCACCTTTACCAGTCAGTACCTATCAGCATGTAGGCAAGTCCCTCCACCAGCAAAAAGATTATGATTTGCTGAAAGCTCAGATGATAGTATTTTTTAGCAATAAGTTATTTTTTAAATTAAGGTATGTACATTTTTTCCATAATGTTATTATATACTTAATAGACCATATAAACATAACTTTTATGTGCAGTGGAAAACCAAAAAATGTATTTGACTTGCTTTATTGTGGTATTTATTTAAATGCAGTGGTCTGCAGGTGAGCCCACAATACCTTCAAGTTATGCTTGTATTTATTTTTTATGGGCCAGGAGATTAATTGTGGCTCACTATTTTTTTTTTTTTTTAGGCTGTGGTAGAAATGGGACGCACCCACCAATTTCAGAATTTAGGTTTAGTGTATCTCTTGATTGCATTACTTCAGTGCATTTAATTTTGAACTAAATATAAGTTTAATTTGAGTAGATTTCTAAAAAAAGTTTTTGTTGTTATATTTTTAAAGGTAACACAATGCAGGACAAGGAGTACATCTCCCTTCTCTCCCCTGAACCTAAAAATTGCTAGTGGTATTTGTCTCATGATAAATCCTTTAACTTTTATCTGCATGCTCTAAGAATTATGATAGCAAGGAATGTCATTCAAGAAATCTTTGAGATAAAGTGCAAAGGGAAGTAATTTCAAAATTACTTTCTAAAGGACTGGTTTCTCTGAAGTTCCAAATAAAATAAAACTATACTTAATTTATGCTTCTACTTTATTTCTTAGGTGAATAAACATATACAACTTTAGATATAAAATTTTCATTTCATGTAGGAATTTTTCTGTAATTGACATCTAAAGTGATCTTTCTGCAATCGATAACATCTAAAGTAAACTAGGGGATAAATTAGATACTGTGACAAGCAAAACCAAGAAATTGAACATAGAGGAATGTTCTACTGGGAGGTGATATTTGTGGAGATGATGATTTATAAGGACAGTGATTTTTTAAAAAAAATTATTACAAAATACTTAAAATGTAGAGAACTAGAAAATAAGTAATATGATAAACTGTAATTGTTAGCATAATTATTCATCCCTTTGTTATTTTTACAATGGGATGCTATAAAATCTTTATTATTGCAAATATAGTTACACACATTATTGCATAAGTCTTTGAAACACTTTTACTCTTTTTCTCCCTCCTTTGGGAGCAGAAATAAACCTTTTAGGGATCACAGTAGAATGATAGAGTAACTAGGAACGGTTTCTTTGCTAATATTACAAAATTTTTCCCTAGAAATTTGTTGACCATGAAGTACAAAGAAACTTTAACTAGCTTTCCATTGCTTCTACTTTTTTTTTTTTTTTAAGATTTTATTTGACAGAGGGAGACACAGCGAGAGAGAGAACACAAGCTGGCAGAGTGGGAGAGGGAGAAGCAGGCTTCCCACGGAGCCGGGAGCCTGATGCGGGGCTCGATCCCAGGACTTTGGGATCATAACCTGAGCCGAAGGCAGGCACTTAACGACTGAGCCACCCAGGCGCCCCTCTTCTACTATTTTTTAAAGATAATTCTCTCAACTTTAAATGAGAGGGTACGGACTTGAGGAAGAGACAGAGGAAAAATCATATTCTAGATATGAACTGTCCTCCTTTCACCCAAGTGGCCATAAAGGATATAATTTAGAAGCAAGGCACCAAATGCTAGACAGCAGTTTTCCTGCATATTTATCTTTATTAAATTCACCATCTGTAAAGACTGAGTTTTTCAACTTCTCTGATTCTTTGTGAATACTTTAATGTCTTTATCTACCATTATCTTCAGGATTCAAAAATTTCCTCTATGGAGCGTGGGCTCCGAGACTTGGAAGAGGAAATTCAGATGCTGAAATCAAATGGGGCCTTGAGTACTGAAGAACGGGAAGAAGAAATGAAACAAATGGAGGTCTATCGGAGTCATTCTAAATTTATGAAAAATAAGGTAATGGTGTGTGATACTGTAATTTTTAAAAGAGTTTTGAGAAATTGATGCATATTTCTATTTCCTTAGTGATGATGAAGAACTTCACATTGTTTTATCAGACTTCAGGAAGGATACTTAGAATTCTTTCAAATGCAACTTCCCCAGAACTAAAGTCAGAATTACCCATGTATCGTTATTTCAACTTTTTACTTTTAAAAGAAAAGCTGATATGTGTTGTCACAGTTTAAGATTTATATCTATCAGTACTTCTGAGGTGATTTAGTAGAATTATATCCAAATTGAGTTTTTCTCACTCCATGAGACACCAAGTTCTTTAACTCTTGTGTAGTATTGTAAAAGTCAAAACCCTAAGAGGCTGAACCCAGTTCCCCCACTTTTTTTTTTTTTTCTGAAATGGCTTAAATAATATCCTATTTTCCCTTCAAATACAGTTCCATAAAGAAAAACCCTTTGCTCTATCCCTTGGAGAAGATGCATTTGTATCAGGTTTATTGTTTCCCGTGTGCACTTCAAGATTCGTATCAGCACAGCATGTCAGTCCATATTTAGAAACTCAGTCACAATATTTTTTCCTTAGGTCCACAGCCATCTAGTTTGATTCTATAAGCTATTTAGGCAAATTGGAGGATCTAGTTTATTATAGTTATCAATTTGCCAAGTTTGTTTTGGTTTAATTAAAAATCATAATTGTGATTATAAAATATTGCTAGAAAATAAGTACCCCTCGTATCCCAATTGTATTAGTTTCCCAGTTTCTCAGAACAGAAAACTGTAGAGGAATGATACACAATTTTTCTAACTCCCTCTCCAGTTTCTGTCTTCCTGCTGTGGACTCATACCTGGCATAAAAGTCAGTAGAATATTCCTTTATTATTTTAAGAATCTGTTATCAGTGACTACTGAAAATTTGTCAGTTTTAGAACTTAAAAATTCACATATTCAAGTTTCTATTAGTTTGTATTTTTCACCCTAATTTGAGAGGAAAATACACTATAATACAATCTTTGCTTTCCATTTGTTGATTGGCACATTTAAGTCCATTAAGAAACCCCTGTGAAAATAGAGAAACTATCTAGGGTGCTTTGAAGAGGGAATTAAGGGAACAGATTTGATTGTGTTATATAGGTTATTGTTATTTCCAGTTACTGCTCTGGCTGAAAAGCAAATAATAAGACCTAAATTGACACATAAGTGAAAAAGAATAACAATGTCGTGACAGGTAGAGCAACTGAAGGAGGAACTAAGTTCGAAAGAGGCTCAAGGGGAGGAGCTGAAAAAGAGAGCGGCTGGTCTTCAGGCTGAGGTCTTTGCCGTAAGATTTACTCTTTGTGTGCAGCGATCCCACAGTGGGACCCTGCTAGCTCTGGCTTCTGGGTGGCTTATACTTTCGTTTTCCGGTTGGCAGCTTTGCCCAATACTAGCACTAACCAGCCTGCTCTGCTCTTTAACCGACTCCTGTTCACCAGTTTGACCCATATGTCACTTTGTGTGCAGTGAGCCCTCACTTGTTCTGGTTCTTTATTGTTGCTTTTGTCACTGTATGGATGGTACTTCCAAGAGTGTTTTTTTTCCTTTCCTTTTGTAGATACTTGTTGATTTATATGAATGGTGATCTCTGTTTCTTCTTTGGTATAAGAATATGCAGATGTTCTCTGTTCTAGTGATTATTTGAATTTGAAATTCTTTTTCTTTTTAAAGTAAGGTATAATTGATTTATAACTATGTATTAGTTTCAGATTTGCAACATAATGATTTGAGATATATATATATTAAAATGATCTTCACAGTAAGTCTAGTTAACGTCCATCACCATAGTTACAAAATTTTTTTTCTTCTTTTGATGAAAACTTTTAAGATGGACTCTCTTAGAATTTGAAATTCTTGAGTAAAGAGCTTTAACTTCATATGTATTATCTTTAAGTCTCCATTAGGTGATTTTCCAACAAATGTTCCTTTTTTTAGAACAGATGTGTAGAAAGTGATTTGCTTATTTAGAGTTATCTAGTAAATTAGAATTAGCCTGAAACATAAAGTCTCTAAATCTAGTTTAATCTTCTGTCTAAAGAACTTAAGATTCCATTTCAAAATATAATACAAAAATAATAGAATAGCTAACACTCAAGCACTTATAACCTGCTAAGGTTGGTATATCACCCAAGCCCAATTTATAGATGTGGAAACTGAGGTAGCCAAGTGGTGCTCAGGTGATGTATCTGGTAAGAGGCAGAGCTTGATTTTTACACAAGCAGTCTGGTTCCAGAGCTCGTGCCGGTGAGCCCTTCTGTCTTCTGCCCTGTACTCCGCCATGTGTGCGTATGTCACACCAGTGTCAGGAAAAACTGCTTCTGAACATGATTGTGGGATAAGACAGGAACGCAGCATTAAAAAAAACCACAAACTTGTGCTAATTTGATGTTTTTGCTATTTATGGACCCCTTTATAATACAGGTAGTAAAGTGAAATATTTTTCTAAAAGGGACTGATTTGGTTTATGGTAACTGTATTTTCTAGAGGAGTAGTTGATGTATAACTTTACTTTTTTTTTCTTAGCTATTATAAATATTTCTTTGTTGTGTCAGACAACAGGCTAAGCACATTCCATACATTATTTTATTTAATCTCCAAATAGTACAGTAGCGACTGTTTACTTTCTCCATTTTACTGATTAGGAAACCAAGGCTTAGAGAAGTAAATACTCAAAGACACACTTATCCTCAGGTGTGAGTGACTACAAAGCCTCGTGCTCCTAACTTTTATGGAAAATGTGTGCTTCTAAACTCTGCTTTCCATTTAGAATATTTTTGTCCCTTTCTCAGTCTTTATGGTCAATATACTAGTATTTGATGATTCTTTAATAAAGTAGATGATGAGGAAACAGGGATTTTATACTTATTTTTAACCATGTGATTGGAGGTAATCTTTAAACCGTAGTAGTTCTTTAGTTGAGGAAGTGATAACATTTTAAACATTTCTCCTGGATATTCATTCATACAACAGATTTTAGAGCAACCTGTATGTTAAGGATGGAATAATATAAATATGTACTTTTTATTGGAAAAGGGATGTCATGAAAGATGCCACAACATTACAGTATGTGGTAACTCCAGGGTATATATTTATATTACAGGATGAAGATAGCTGCCATTTACAGTCATCTTCCATTGATGTTCTAAGTATCCTCAAGTAGTTTGCATACAGTATGCATATAGAAATATTTGTGGAATGAGTGAATAACTAAATCTGCAAATAGAATTTTCATGCATATGAGGAAAATGCTTGTCTTCCTGCTAACAAGAAGAGTAAATGAGACATTTATTTTTAGCACTCCTTAAAAGTCTAATTTTAATTAAAGTAATATTTATTTCATACTTCCTCATGGGAAATTGTTCTTAAATTGTCCCTTATACCTAAGATTATTACAGTAAAAATACTATAGATACATTCAGTGAAAAGAATACAAAGAACTTTCATCAGTAATACTGAAATTACTGACTTGTCGGTCAGATTTATACTTCCAATAATTAATCTGTTAGTGCACAGCTGCCTTGCTAGGCAGGATACAGAATAGAATGTAAAAGCAAATCTGATTTTTATTTGGTGCACATTTAGAATAAGAGACTATTTAGAAAATGCTTAGAAACAACAGTAGAAATGTAAATGAGATGTTTGAAATAAAAATTTTTTTTAAGTTAAGATGATAGAAATTTATGGGAGAATGAATGGCACCTCTTGACTTACGGATTACTCTGTCAGTAATTCAGATTCAAATTACACATGTCGATTCTTACAGAATGAGTCTTTATGCATTTAAGTCATATACTTTTTTATCCATTTAGTTGGTATGATGTTGTAGATGATATAACTTTGTAGGTGGAATTTTTTTTAAGGTCAGTATCCCTAACTCATCAAAATTATATGATTTCTAAGAGGCACAGGTTTATAATGCCTCATAACAAAAAAGGTAGCTTTTTAAGATAAGGATTTTATGTAAACTTTTGCTTGTGAATGAAAAAATAAACAGTATACCAGCAGCAGCTTTTGAATTTAACTTTAAATAGCAATGCTAGGATGTTTTCTTTTTCCCTTCTGTTTTACATCTACACTAATCCTGCTTTATGTTTTAAGAGGTCTGACTTAATAAAATGAAAACTGTTTGATCAGCACAGTGGTATTCAGATGCTTCCTGTCATCTCACAGTAATCTAATTGAATTGGGATTTTTCTCCCTCTATTCTTTTTCTAAGGGATTTTGAAGAGTGTTTAGGAGACACAGTACATGAAACCTGGAATTTCCCTATTGGCGGGGGGAGGCTGGGTGGTCATCCAAGATTTGATGATGGAATAAGATGAATTATGTTTTGTCATAAAACTAATGCTATATTTAGTTTCATGTTTTGTGACTCGGATCTGTCAAAGATCCAGATCAGAGGTGATTGTTTCATTTCTTTTTTCCTTACAGTGTTTTATTTTCTTCTCTAGATTGGTCAGGTGAAGCAGGAGCTGTCCAGAAAGGACACAGAACTACTAGCCCTACAGACAAAGCTAGAAACACTCACAAACCAGTTCTCCGACAGTAAGCAACACATTGAAGTGCTGAAGGAGTCCTTGACTGCTAAAGAACAACGGGCTGCCATCCTGCAGACCGAGGTGAGAATTCTGGTATTGGCAGGGAGTCACTTCCTTGCACCTTTTCACGTGTATCGCCTGTGCTGTTTTTGTTATACTTGGATTCAGGAGATATGAATAATGTAATGAATAATTCTTTAGCAGTGTGATCATACCATACTAAAACTATAACTGTCTTGGTTCAGTTCTTAGATCTAACAAATCTGGTGCAGTTTATGTATGCTTTTAATTCTTTGAACGTTCCCTAAGTTTGTACTTCTAAGTATACTTTGACATTATGAAATGTTGTAAAGATAGTTATAAAAAAGAAATCCAAATGAATCTTTTGTTCTCACCCATGATGAATCTTCTAGTCATGAATGGCAGTGAGCTTGGTTACCTTGTGTTTAGATTATTAAGTGTTCTTAATTTTTGATATTATGTCTAGCTTTATGTAGGCAAACTGCAGAATCTAGAAATTTTCTAAGTAGATCTTGTTTTGAACTACAGATCATGAGACAGTGTGCCTTCATATCCTGTTTGAAAATGAAGTTAGTATTTTTAGAAATAGCCTGTCAGCCCTGATTATAGGTAGGAATACCCTAAATAATTCCATATAGTTGAGAACTTATCGTATTTGTAATGATCAAAGAGAAGGAATTGATGATGCTATTTGGATTTATTGCCCTAAATATTTTTTTAAAGGTCTAGTGAAATAGGGAACTTAGGTAGAAATAGGTAAACAGTTCTGCTTTATAGAAGAAAACATACAGCATACAACGTGGATTAGTTTTTTTTTTTTTTTTAATCTTTTTCTTTTAAAGAACCAGATGGGTAAGTAAGGGCATGCTTGGATGGAAAAGAGGAATGAGAAGTAAAAAGAATGCATAAAAACATTATAGACCCAGAAGATGAGAATCTTCAAGTGAGGAAGAATGGGGAAATGACCAAAACTCTTTCATGTAATATTTTATTTTTGTAGTTTGGGACTTTGTTGAAAATGAGAGATTTGGATGATGTATTGGTAATTTTCCTTACAACTCAGACTTTTTCTGTCAATCCATTATCAGGATAGCAATCTCATTCTACCTCACAGGAATATTTTAGATAAAACTTAGGTTTTGGCTCTGGGGTCATAGACTGAATTTGAAATTCAGCTTTACCACTTACTACCAGGTTAGGTGATCCTGGGCGTGTTATTTGACTTCACTGTGCCTCACTTTCCCTCCGGCTGTAAGATGAAGAGAGTAGGAGTGTCTGCCTCATCGGGCTGTTGTTAGGATTAAACTGGCTTATTGGACACAGTAAAGCTTTTGTTATTGTCATCACTGTAGCTATTGATGTATATAAACTGAAAGTATTAAGAGAACACAGTTGGTTTTCTTTTCATTGGCATATATTTTATTTAGAAGATCTGCTCTTTCATATTTTTATTCAGCTAGTTTTATGTTCATCCAGGGAATTGCAAATATAAAATTATCTGGAAACTGTTACTGCAAAGTTACTAACTTATGCCTTTATTAGAGTTTTTTGCCCCAGTCGCTGGTGTGCATGCAGTACTACAGAAGGGTCAGAAGAGGGTGCCAGTGTTTTGGAGGTGAGCCTACTTCCAAGTTTAGGACTGATGGCGTTGGCTAGAGGTGGCAGGTGTGTGACTCAGAGAATCAGGCAGTTGGTTAATGATAATGCAAACATTTAAAAGCTTGTCACAGTCTAATAAACGACTTTTTTCCTCTTGGCAATCCATCCTTTTCTTTGTACCCCTCTCAAATAGTGTTCTTATTCGCTAGGTCTCACACAGATGGGCTTGTGATTGATTTCTTGTACCAAAGAGAGTAAAGACTGTATTTGTGGTCATTCTTGAATGGTTCTTATTTGTTTTTAGCCACGTGGGAGTAACTGAGTTTCAGTGATTACCCCTATAAGTCACTAGGACAACTGCTCAAATATGACCATCTCATCCTAAAAAGGTAATACTGTAAAAGCCAACAATCTTTTGAGTATAGGATAATTATATGAATGTGATATGGTGATTTATTAGTATGTGCTTTTTTCCCCTCAAATTACTCTGGTGACATTTGACTGGGGTCACTTTTTCCAAAACATCTTTCTCATGTTAGAGCCCAATAAAAGGCAGTTTGAACCAGCTCTATGAAAATTCTCACGTATTTTTATAATTTGCTCGTAACTGATATTGTCCTCATCTCTCCAGCTCTCCTAGACTTTGATCTAACTCTCACATCGCTAAATTAAGCATGTATGAAAAAGAACATGGATCAAGGAGTTTTTAAAAATCCTTTAAGGAAAAATGGGATGTGGGAAAAGACCTGATTTTCTTCGTGTTCGTGGTCCAGGGAATGAGGCCCTTTTGTATTGGGCAGTGTACAATATATAGTATTTCTGGAATTGCTCCTATTTTATGAACATTTCTTTTAATCTGTTGATCTTCACAGAGGTGGTTTGGATTAGTACCATAGTGGTTAAAAGCATGGGCTTTGGAGTCAGACCTAAATTTGAATGCAGTTATCTATGTTTATTAGTATGTGACCTTGGATGAATTACTTTACCTCTTTAATCCTTCGTTTCTTCATTTGTAAGTACCAACTTCCTATGGTTGTTGTGGTTAGAACAGATGTTTAATTATGTAGCTCTTATCTGAATTTAGAGGGAAATATTAAATATCAGTGGGTTTCAAATTCTTTTACTTACCTTAGAGTTTATAAACACTTGTATTTTATTTGATCTCTGCTGTTTTATGTGATCCTCAGATTAATAGTATGGATTAGGCAAGATAAGTATTTTGTTTTGTTTTGGTTTGGTTTTTTTTTGCTTTCCTTGTGGGGAGTTACGTGAAGCTTTTAATTAGCATATGACTTTTGGTTGGCACTTAGGGCCAATCTCACTGGTACCCCAGAACTTTCAATATTGGTTACAGTATTTTCAGGAAATTTTCTATTTTATGCCCATTTTCTTGTTTCTAAGTCTTGATGACATACTGTGGACCTACCAATGAATTTATTTTTTGTTTGAGTTCTCAATGTGCAGAGCTGATATTGTCAATAAATTAAAATAATGGACACCTTACTGCCTCAAAGTAGTACAATTTTTTCTTCTCCAGCACATTGAATTTTAGAATTCTGTTTTATTATAGGTGAATACTATCATCTATATCTTACGAACAGAAGTGGTTCTTCTTTCATGGCTGATCCAGCACAAAGTAAAGAACTGCCATGGATCTAGGATATTTAGGCACTAGAGCTTGGCTGTAGGTGCACTGGAGCATGCACCTTTTACTTGCATTCTCAACCCAATGCCCCAGTATGCTGTGCTCTTCAAGCTGGAGCTTTGACTTCCTCAGCACAGTTAGAGTTAGCAATACGTCCTTTGGACCAAAGTGCATTTTAGAGACTAGTCTTTCCATAATTCATAAAACATAATCGATAATACCTGATATTGGATGCTTTCTGTGTGTCATGCAGGGATGTGTACTTTCTTTCATTTTCTCAGTTAATCCTTGCAGTAATCTTCTAAGAAATAAGAATTGTCATAACATTTTAAAGATGGGCACACTGAAGCTTGGAGAGATTGAAGTTACATGAGTTGTTGAGTGATTACCTGGGATTCAGAATTTGATCAGTTGAAACTCCAAAGCTTATGTTCTTGGTCATAATGCTATAATGCTTCCCTGTGAGGAATCTGAATATATGTGTATATATGAAACAACTTCTCAGAATAAAAGAGGATTTGGCGTCATGAGGTGGTTTGGGTTATTTTTCAAATACTGTTTCTCTCTTATTGTTCTAGGTGGATCATTGCTCCATCACCACTCTGAGCAGTGCTTAGCCTGTTACGAGTCATGGGGTAGTGGTGGGGGCAGGTGCTGTAGTGTAACATTGGTGTGGTGTTCAAGCCAGCTTGTGAAGGTAGCCTGATTAGCTTCTGAGTGCCCCCTTCTCCTCCACATTACCTATACCTGAGTAGAAGATCACCTCAGAAAAAGAGTGTTGGCAGAGTAGAGATATATATTATTACACTAGAGGCTCTCAGATTTGGGGGCTTCCTGCCCACCACCACCATTCCCCCAGCTCCGAATGGTGAGTTGGCACTGTTCATAGTGGTGGATGGGGCAGTGTCTTATTTGAGGAGATGCAGATAATGATAAGCTTAAGAAAATGACAGGAAAATATAACTGTAAGTATGGCTGATAATATGCTAGGGGAATAAAACAATGTATAAATTTCAAATCTTAAGTATAAAACTCAATTTATCTATTGGAGAATAGAAAAAAATAGGGGAGGGGGTGGGGAAAAATAAGAGGTATGTAGACACCATGAAAAATGTTGGCCAAAATGGTATGAATAATGGGAAAGGCAACATATGCAAATAAGTTAAACTTAGATTAAAATACAAACCTCAACTGGATTAAAAAACAAGATAACAGAATATATTGTCAATAAGAGTTAAGCATAAGACAAAAAATAGCAGAATTAAAAATAATAGAAAAAAAAATTAAAAATAAAAGGTATATCAAGAAAATATGTCTTCCCAATCTGATTTATTTTAACATTAGTTAATTAATTAATTAATTAATTGAAAAGTAGACTCCATGCCCAGTGTGGACTACAAGGAGGGGCTTGAAATCATGACCCAGAGAGCAAGACCTGAACTGAGATCAAGAGTTGAACACTTAACCGACTGAGCCACCTAGGCGCCACTAATTAAATTATCTTTTTTTTTTTTTTTAAGAGTGAGTGTGAGTGGGTGGGGAGGTGTGGAGTAGAGGAGGAGGGACAAACAGACTCCATGCTGAGTGTGGAGCCCCACATGGGGCTCGATCTCATGACCCTGAGATTGTGACCTGACCTGAAATCAAGAGTCATATGCTTAACTGACTGAGGAAAGAAGTCATAAAGCACAGAGAGCAGTGTTACATACCGATAAAAAGAACAGTGATTGTGAACATTTATGCATCTAACAACGTTGCCTTTAAGTGTATAAAACAACAGTGGGGAGAAACAGATGAATCAATAATTGCAGTTGGT